ACCATAGACTTTGTATGTAAACCTGATGCTCCTGATGCTGAAATCACATTTGGTGTGAACGCACCATTAGAGGTAATATGGTTTAGAAGAACTCGAACAGTGAATTTCACAGAAAGACTCACAGCCTGCACGCGCTGAGGCGAGTTCCCATCTCTCAGGAGGAGAGAGTTTAGTCACTGACACAAAGTTGGACAGATCTGTTCGATAACAACACTCAGAACATGTATTTAATATAAAGTTAGGTTTTAGAGACCAAAGTCTCTGCTTGTTCAGGAGCAAAGTGCAGGAGGAGATGTCAGGACTGAGCGCTGCAGCTGCTGTCTCTGCTGAAAACTGCTCTCACTGAAAGTCCCACCCTGCTCTGCTCTGATTGGATGAAACAGCTCTGGAGTTCGTCTGATTCATTGAAAGCTGTGTCCGTTTAGTCCTTATACATCAGGGTCCCGCTGCCCTCCTCTGACAGAACGACGATCCAGTCACACCAGTGAGGCTGGATTTTTGTTTGTTTTGTTTGTTTTAAGAAATCAGGTCACATTTGCGACCCTGCTAGCTGCTGTTTTCACAATCTCAGGTACAATCTTAGGTACGCAAGGGAACTAAATGACATTCCATCTAGTGTGCTTTTCCTTTTTTTGATCACGCATGCGCACGTGCACACCGCTTATGTGCAACTTTGACTATAAGAGTTTAGAAAACAGAGTTGATGAAGACAACAGTATTTGATGCTGGCCTTTGATCAGATTAGACACTCATTAGTCCTTATTTTCATACGTTCCACAATTTGTAGACGCAGTTTTTGGCAGAATGGTAAACCTCTGCCCAGGTTTACTTCTAAGAGATTCAGCCTCTCTAAAATACACTTTTCATGACTAGTCCTTTTACTGACCATTTGCCAATTAACTTAATTGCAAAATGCTCCTCCAGGTGTTTTTTATTTGACAGGTTACTCATTTGAAATGTTAAATAATTTCTACAGATTAAAATATGGGTTTACGAGACTTGCAAATCACTACATTCTGTTTTTATTTCCATTTTACACAACATCCCAGCTTTTTTTTTTTTTTTTTTTACAAGTGAGGCAGTACTTTAAATCTTCTTACTGTTGGGTAGGCTTGTCCATCTGCTCCTCCTCCTCTTCTTCCTCATGAATGAGACTGTGAACCAGATGTAGAATCATGGTGACATCCTGACCACTGCACAGGAAACAAGGAACGGTGATTGGAGCAGAAGAAGGGATGACATTTTCTTTGTGATAAAGCCTACATGTTAGCCTCTTGTCCGAGATGTACTAGGCACCCGTCCTCACTCTCAGGCATTTGCAAGGTTTCTCAATATCTTTTTGTGTGCTGCAGAGACCCAGTCTTGTTGCTTGAATTTTGAACATGTCCAAAAACTTTGAGCAATAATACTCATCTTAAAGTAGTCAGAGTTTCTGCAGGCACCTCCAAGCACTAGAACTGTATTTTGACACCTGCACTGGAGATCTCCTCCAACAGAAAACATCTGGGGCTAAAGCCCCATCACAGATCTCAGTTTAGTTGTATGGGGAAAATATTTGTAGACAAAATCAAATATTTTTAAAAGTAGAAACTTGACTAGAAGTGAAGTTTGTCTAAATACATGGACATAGACAATTTTTCAGTAATAGTTTCATACTCAGTAAAAGAAAGCAAACGGTCGATGTTCCWTTTAGAGTGGAKGGCATTGAGATCTGTAGCGTCAGTGAGGTGGTGTTTTTGGGTGCGGTTATGAAAAGCTGACATGGAGACCTCATATAAATCATTTAAGAACAAAAATAGCTGAATCTATTGCAGTTCTGTATAAAGTAAATGAGTTATTTAATGATAAATCACTGTTTATAATATATAATGCAATTATTGTTCCACACTTAATCTATTGTATTGACGTTTGGGGAAAAACATACAACACAATTACAAATCCCATTTTTATTTTACAGAAACGAGCTGTAGGAATTATCACAAGAAAGCATTWTAGTCACCCATCAAATATATTATTTCATCAGTCGAAGCTATTGAAATTCTATGATTTGGTTGATTGTAGTATTTTATCAGTTATGTATAGGGATCACAAAAACATTACCTTCAAATAACCAATTAAACTGTTGTTACAATCTCAAAGGAATAGAGATGTTTGAGAATTCTAAATTTCAAACCAGTTTGAAAGAACGGTGTACTTCAATCCAAGGAATTATGGAATAATCTGGATGATGACATTAAAAATGCCAGTTCAATGGGTGTGTTTAAGAGAATGATAAAAGGTTAATCTGTTGGAGAAATACAATTGTATAATGCATAATGTATATTTAAACAAATTGTTGCTCAAGAAGGAGTTAAACCTTTATTTTTTTCTTTTTTTGTTTGTTCTGTTTTTTGAAAACTATTTTTGTTTGAATTTATTTATTTGAGTAAAGGGAGAGAT